TGTATAAGAGACAGCCCCCCCCCCTTCTCCTATCTTCCGGGGTCCTGTAATTCAGATTCATTTTGTCTTTTTCTCTTGCACATGGCTCCCTGCCGTCTTCCCCCAAAGACAGCACACCCCAATTATGAATTCATACATTGCTTGCAAGCTTTTTTCCGCTTCGATACCCTAATGATGAGGGTGCACTATTTGTTTGTTTGGGGGGGGGGGGGAAGATGCCAGTAGGGGGKGGTCACATTTGAAATTTGCCCTTGGATGTTTCAGGTAATGCAGCTCTGCAGGCCCACCACTGAAACGTTGAGAGGTTGGCTATGGGCCTCGCCACACCACTCTCGAAATGTGAAAAAGACGCAAAACTGTGGCGCGTGCATCTGCCCATGTTCTTGCAGCAGGTTCATTCATTTTCATTTTGCACATTTTGAAGAGTGGTGTGGCGATGCCCTATATCTTTTCATTTTTTTGTTTTCCTGTTGTGTCCCAGAGGACCCCGGACTCAAATTTTGACAATGATTATGGAAATTGGACTTTGAGGGAGGGGAGGGGAGGGGGGTGGAGGGGCGGGGAAGGGGGGGAAGGCATTGGTGGAAGCGAAGTGTGCTACTTGGAGCGAAGTGTGCGGTGATTGCCAGCGTGCCTCCGTGTGGTGTTGTGTGTGGTGTGCGTTGAGTGTGGACACTGCAGCCTTGCAGGGGTGGGGCGGATATCATGGCCGGCGGATATCGCGGCCGGTATGGTTCCGTTTTCGAACACCGTGTCCTGGCTGTAGTGGTTACAATACTTGGCTCTTCTTGAGGCCGAGGTCGCCGGTTCAAGTCCGCGCTTGCGCGGAGGAGGGCTGAGGCCCAGAGGTACTGACTGATCCAATGACATGACATTGGTGGTGCTTATTTCAAATGATTTGGGATGTCATCACTGGAATGGGTGATGATCCTGGGTGGTATACTCAGGTAGGATAGGACCTTGGGAGTAGGGTTGCGCCGAGATGATGAGTAAGGATGGGAGGATGTCTCATAGGGGACCAGTTAGGCAAAACAGCCAGATGATCAAATGGTTAGGTGCCGGCAGGCCTCCTCCAGGCACTACAACAACCTGGACTTTGTTTAAAAATAAATAAATAAATAAATAAATAAATGAATAAAATAAAAAGCTCGGATGTCAGACTTGACAAGCATTGAAATGTAAGGGACGCCGGGCCCGGTTCACAGCTGTTTTGTTAAAAAAAAAAAAAAGAACATTTGGATTTTGAAGAAAAAAAGAAGGGCTTAAATTAATCAGGAAACATAATGGAAAACACTTTTTTTTTTTTTTTTT